CTGCCCAACACCTGGACGACGAGGCTGGTCGACAAGCTTCGAGACTCCTTGTGTTCTGCACCGGAAAGTTGAAAGCCTCTGACCACTTCGCAACGGGAACTTCTGAGTTTGGGGGCGCTTGCTGCGCGGTACCTTGGAGCTCCCCTCAAAAGTAGCATGGTATTCTGCTTGTTCATCAATGGTGCTTGTTTTTCGTAACATTGCCTCAGTGAAACACATGCCTGGGGGCCGAGGGCGCGGGGAGTAAGTAGGCAGACCAACAAGACAAGAATTGGGGCCAGGGTCCAAAACACGTATTTCATGCTGTTCTGTTTCTGTTTGGCAATATCGTACACCGTGTTCCAGAATGTCCAACGCAGAGCTGAAACCCTGACTCGAGGTCTTGCATCTTGAAGCAAGTCCCAAAACCCTAAGCCCAATGACCCTAAAGCCCATGTAGATCCCTTAAAGACCAGTATCTCCAAGGCTGATAGTGTACCACTCCTGGGAACAAAAGCCTTGGTAGGTCCCTCTTAGCATGCAGCTCACACCAGCCGCTTCTCCTCTTCCGGCAGCTGCTTGGAGCTTGGAAAAGAGCGTTTTTCGAAGATCTGCGGAGAGCTCTCCAGGTTCTATACAGCTTTAAGGAGAACTGCCAGAAGACTGAGTGTATTCTGATTCTGCAATGGGTTACATGGATTGGTGCTTCGGCGGCCTGAGGTGGTTCCAGCTGCACTGCGTGTCCCATGTAGCGCTGCGCCAGTCTCTGCACGGCCGAAGGCAGGAACGTCTTACGACACTGCAGGGTTGTGGCTTTTGGGTGCAAGCATGATGCAGAGAAGTGCACAGAGAAGTCTTACGGATTCAACGGGGTGTCGTCATGGTGTAGAGAGCATCTGAGACCTCTTCAGGATGGAGCATCATGTGCCATCGGGGCAGCTGCAGCCCTCGCAGCTGCCTCTTATGTACGAAAGGCACGCACCGCGAATGTGGGCCGCCACTTGGAGCTGCACTTGAAGTCAATGTCAGGTAACTAATTGCACTAACCCTTCTCGTCGTCATTATTCTAGCATTAGTAGTAGCCCCTACTGCGGCAACCCTTACCGTGGTAAGTCTCATAGCGGGATTGAGATGAGGTTGGCAGCAGATGCCTCAGCACCAGGCTGCCGAGGATAGCGACAAGAAAAAGTCGAGCCTCGGCCAATATAAGATCAATACAGTAGTAGGCTGCTACTACTACTACTACTACTATTACTACTACTACTACTACTACTACTACTACTTCTAGTACTACTAGTACTACTACTACTACTACTACTACTACTACTACTACTTCTACTACTACTACTACTACTACTACTACTACTACTACTACCATTCATGACAGCAATACTAACAATAATAATAATGCAGTATACTCAATGACGAGAATAGCATGGATAGCACTAGTTTAAATGATTTCACTGATTTCACCATAGCAAGTACACAAAAATACTAACTACTACAAAAAAAGGATGATAATGTAAATATACATGTAGAGCAGTATGATAACGCATGCTCATATGTTCATCTTATAAAATGACAATAATCAAATAAGCGCAGTCACAATAACAGTTCATGGTAGTAGTAACAATGGAAGTGGGAAGGATAGTATTGATAAGAGAAAGACAATACTACTATTACTGCTGCTAGTAGTAGCAGTAGTAGGTTGTAGTAGTCGTAGTAGTAGTAGTAGTAGTAGTAGTAGTAGTGGCAGTGGTAGTGGCAGTGGCAGTGGCAGTGGCAGCGGCAGTGGCAGTGGTGGTAGTAGTAGTAGTAGTAGTAGTAGTAGTAGTAGTAATAATGAAAATAGGAAGTAACCACCACAACAACAATAATGATGATACTAATAATAAACACAATCCTATAATCAGAGCAATCAGGACCGTTTCCATGATAGCAACAAAAATGACAACGACAATCAAAACAACACTCACAGCAACAGCAACAACAACCGCAACAGCAGCAGCA